ATGTTTACATTTTGTGATAAATAAAGAATTAATAAGGTAAGAAAAAGTACAAACAAAATTATTATGAATGTTCTACTTAATAAATATAAAGTTATCGGAATGGCATATTCTGTTTACAAATTTAACAATCTATAAAAATAAAATAATTTATTTTCAAAGAACTAATTATCACCAAATGCTAAGAAAGAAAACAGGTAAGCAAGTAAATTACATTAAACATAACATTAAACATACATTAAACATAATATGTATAATAATAATATTTAATAGAAGAAAAGCATGATCACTATATAAATAAAAACCTTTAATGAAGCATCATAGAACCATACATTCGTCAGTGTTAAAAAACTGGTAATGTCTCGATCCATTTTTAATAATCAAAAAAAAAACTAAATCTTGATGCACCCATACAATACTTTTCATTAAAAAGCAGAATTCATTAACTTTTATATCATGGAAAGAAAAGTCGGAATTATATAAATGGCAAATAAAGAAATTTTCTAACTAATCTTCAAGAGAAACAATTCTACATTCTTATAAACTTACATAAGATTAACATACCGTCACATATTTTGTTTAAAATTTGCATAGTTACCTAATTTATTTATATTCTCAGACACGATTTTTTTTCGAAAAAAAGCACGATTTTAATAATTTAACTCAAATTAGACGATCATTTTTTCGTAGTTAAAATCATAACCAGTAGGGAAAATTACATAAAAATTAACATTTTTAATTTCAGCAACAAAAACATTGTTGTTCACCTGACAGGATTCACGAAGCAGTCACAACAATACTATATTCACCAATCAGAAACTTTCAAAAAGGTGAAGTTTTCTGTTTACATTGACGTCTTCAATTCCCTGCTATGATTGGCTAGAAGTAAGAGAAAGCATTTTGAAAAATCTCGGAACCTCTATAAAAAGTGATATGCTGTCTGACAAATTATTTGATATGATTGAGATATAAGGTTCGAAACACTGTGTAAAAGATTCAAATTGACAGTAAAATTCAACAGCCAGTCTCAGATCCATTTCTAGAATTTTGTTTAAGGAATGAACTTTAATATCATCGTTGGTTCAGTGGTTAGAGAGTCAGGCTCCGGGCCGGAGGTTTCGATCCTCAACAACTCTAAGACCAATCATGCATTCGTCAAATCTGCTGAAGGTTCTGGGACGTAACTACCACTATAAATACTAAATACCGAATCACTAGTATATAAGACATGTTAACTTAAAAAGACCAGGACTCTCTCTATCTCCTCCCGGTGACAGGCAGACCAACACTTGCTTATCCCGACTGGCCAGTGGACACTGAAAAGTCTCACATTTTCTGCTAATCAAAAGATCTTTCCTCTTTGCCCTAAATGCCAACAAAACCAGGCATCACCTGAGCACACCTTGAACTGTTTAGGGCTGGATTGGAACGACATTCATTCCTCTCCCCTTTTAATTTCGGACTTCCTAAATGTCAACGGATTTATTGATCTGGTCTACCAGATGGGAATTAGCAACAACAACAACATGTTAACTTGATTCTATCTTGAGGTACCTTTTGATAGATGAAGGCTAACATTTATAATTCCCCTCAGTGGTGACCTGTGGACGTGATATGAACTTGTTATTGATGGATGATCCACATTAAAACAGCTTATTTTCTTAAAAAAAATATACTGCTCAAAGAAAGAAAAAAATTCCGGTGAAGTAAATAAAATATCCCTGTCAATAAACAAAGATGAAGGTTGGCATAATCTAAAATTAAATCCCCACAGTCCTGTGATGAGTCACTGAGCAGCACCATAGACACAGGGTCTGGAAAAAAATTTCTTCCCCTTCAGATCTATGTCTAAATTAAGGAAGTGATCTCACAATAAAAATTGTGATGGCATGTCTTCGGATCATCCTCCGGGGTATTTCCCAGACCTTCACCAATAGTCCTTGTGCAGCTGTAGTGTGAAGTAAATTAAGTAGCTAACCTACATCGCACTAGAACCACACTACACTAATACACTAGAATACACTTAGTGATAGACTACGTGGATCCATGCATCGCTATTTCTCGAAAATCAAAGCGTGCACTCTGTCTTATGTTCGATAAATGACATCCCTTACTTGTTTTCTTGGTGAAATAGTAGTAGTACTAAGAATAATAGAAGTATTTTATACCTTTGCTGTACAATGAGCTATTAATAACGGTCTGGGAAACATAACTGAGGATTATCCTGATCCGAAGACTTAGCTTCACTCATTTAATCCTCTTTTTAAGGAATGGCTGCCCTGCTTTGGAAACCCGACAATCTGCGCGTGAAGTCGAGCACTTTACCGTAAAACAGATTAACAAGAACCGCAACTTCGGTCCTTACGTTACGCAAGCTGATCAATGTGGTCACCCACCCACTCCTTGACAGGAAGCCAGTGATGCTTGACTTCGATGTTCTACTATGAAGCGTATTTTTCCGACACTGTTCACAGCGGGATCCCAGGAGGAAATGTATAATCTCGTTTGACGAGATGGGGAAATCGTCACCCCTCCAACACTGATGGCGTCACACAAAATCTTTCAAAATCGACACAAAAAGATCCTGATTCACAGAAATATCATTTTAAAGAAGGTAATTTTAAATGACTATTCAAAATTTGAGCGAAATTGTTCGAATAGTTTCGGAGTTATCGAATTTCAAAAAGACGCATAATTAAAAATTTGATTCCTGGAGAACTATTCGACCGATTTCGTTTAAATTTTCAAAAATTATATTCTTTAAATTGAGGTAAAAAAAAAAAATTTACCTTGGAAGTCAAAATTTTTTTGATTATCATTAAAAAAAAAATAATTAATTATTAAAAATTATGTTTTGAATGAAATTATCTTTGAAAAACAAACGAATTTTATAATTATAAGCATAAAAATTTTAATTTGCATAATTAGTTTTTGAGATACGGCGAAATAATGTAAAGAGTATAATTAATTTTGCTTTAATAATTATTGGAACCATATGTTGTTGTTCATTTACGTCGCACTAGAGCTGCACAATGGACTATTGGCGACGGTCTGGGAAATATCCCTGAGGATGATCCGAAGACATGCCATCACAATTTTGATCCTCTGCGGAGGGGATGGCACCCCCGCTTCGGTAGCCCGACGACCTGCACGCGAAGTCGAGCACTTTGCGGTAGAACAGCTTAACGAGGACCAATACCACACACCCTCGGTCCCTACGCAGGCTGATCCAAGTGATCACCCACCCGCACACTGACCGTAGTCAGTGATGCTTGACTTCGGTGATCTGCTGGGAACCGTGTCTTAACGATCAGTCCACTGCGGGACATTGGAACCATATTTTTCAGATTGAGGGTTAGGAAATCACCGAAAAAAAGTATGCTTATTCAGAGAAAGTACGCTTTTGTGTCTAATTTCGTAACTTCAAATATCCTGTGCTATAATTAAGTAGAATATAAGGTTAGCTCCTCGAATCATCAAGACGTACGTGAAAATCCGATCAAAATTTATTCAGAGTGTTGCGTTTACGCACTGTACAATCGCATTTGAAGATTAGCCAACAACTTTGGCAAAGTTCACACGCGAATAAAAAATTATTGTTTCCACTTGTCTCAATCACAATATAATTATTAAGATTTGTACTAATCAGATTAGAAAAATTTGTTGCGTTTGAACTTCATTTCTTTACTAAACTAACATGAAGAGAAGAGTAGTTGCTAGAAATCGTTACAATCAATGAAAAAAAGTAGTAAGAACAGTGGTTTTGCTACTTCCGACTACTGAACACAGCTCCGTATTTGGATGTAGGAATGAAAACATTAACTGCATAAAAATAAAGTCAGCTCTTATTGCTTCAGTTTTCCGTGCGGAGCAAACATTATTCGGTAAAACAAAATCTTGATAAAGGCAACGCCAGACAACGTTTGTATGAACGTCAGTCAAATGTAATCTTATTTTGCTGATCAGAACAACAATGCACTTCTCATTAATGGACCGTTAAAACATTACGTAAGCTCCTAACGAGGGAGAGGTTTTGCAATTTGCTGAAAAAGGGGAAGGAGTGATGTGAGCTATACTCAGCACGCAAGACATAAAAGTCACTTAATTATTTTTTGAAGATAAAAATCCGGGGAAAGTTATATATATAATGAAATACAAATGTATTTTATTACTGTCAATGAACGGCCGACTCAATTTTGAGTTTACGACTAGCAATATCCAACTTCGTAGCCTCGTCATTTTTTGAACCCTATCCAGAAGACAAGAGAACTCTTGGATCATATATTGGGAGAAATTTGCATATGTGGAGGACTTTTTGATGGAACTAATTTGTGTTACATTTCCTCACATTTGTGTTACAACCTCACACAGTTAGTCTGACGGCAAGGGGACTTTAACCCATTCGCCTACCACTAAGGTTTCTTTTTTACGTCAGCACTGTGGTCGGTACGGAATTCGAATTCTAGTTATCGCTGGGATTCAAACTTGGGTCACCTCATAGGCAAGCGGGTGCTCTATTTCTTGAGCCACTACGTCTGAACAAATTTGAAATCATAAACATTAAACAGAAATATTGTTTTAAAGAATTATTCATAAAGCTATGCTGAATCAACCATTTTGAAAAATTTATATTACTTACATGAACAGAAATGCTTAGTAAAATTCAGTCTTAGACCTACATGAAGTAGTGGAGATTCCCCCCCCCCCGAACTATCTATATCATGAAAATACTTACTTAAATGCTTCGCAAAAATCTCACATATGATCAAAATAACAATTGTGTTTAATCAAGATAAAATTAATTATTTCTTTACATTTTTTTTAACAAAAAATTAATACTTTAAGTAGAGTTAATATTTTGATATCACGCTCCAAATTATATAAATGCAAAAATTAATATAAATTTCTATCATAAAAAAATTCATTCTTTAAATTTGATTTTCACTGTGAAACGAATTTAGAAACTAATTTCAGATAATGAATGAAATAGATAAGTCATCGTGTAGTGCAAAATAACACTTTTTTTATTACAAAACACTAAAGAAACAGATACATAAAGTTAAATACAAAAACAATGTTTCCTTATTTCTTCGTTTCTAGAATCCTCTTAGCTTTTAGATTTTTCACGTTCCTTTTCCTTTTTAGCAGCTTCATTTCTAGCTTCTTCTTCCTCATGCTTTTTGATTAGCATTTCAACTTCAGCAGAGGGCATTATTCGAATTTTTGTTTTGTTGTCGTCCCGAGTAAGTGTTGCCATCTCCACTAAAAAAAAGTTGATTCCATAGTTGTAATACATAATTTTTAAGCAGTGATAAGGAAATTTTAATATAAATTGAAAATTTTTTTGCAAAGTAATAAATAAATAACATGAAATAATAAGATTGTATCCACATAGTTTTGTAGCGCCATCTAGAAAAACATGCAGAGAGAGAGAGTGTGTGTGTGGAAGGAGAGCCGCAAAGAGCTAAAAAAAGCTCTCTTCCAAATAAATATTGTGCAAACCTACAGTCCACTTCTTTCTGTTTATTGAGTGAGTTCATTTTTACCTGAGCGTCGACAAAGATCTATAGCAACAATTTTTTTGTAATCTCTCTCAGACTTAGAATTACACCATTCACATCAAAACTATAGACATATAAACGTACTCTAGTGGTTAGTACCATGTTTCACAGGAAATTAGACAGTATCTTACATAAAATTTTGCTCTGTAACAAAAAGTAGTTTTTGATAGGCTGTTTTATTTTCATGTTTCACATGTAATTGTAATTTAACTTAAAAGTCCTTACTTTAAAATAAATAAGATAAATCATATAAAAACAAAAATTTCTTCCACATCTATTCATTTTTCTTTCTCTGTTTTTATGTTATTATCATTGCCCACACTGAAGCTCAGAGGGAATGTTAAACAATTGAAAGGTGAGAAAATAAAAAAAGAGGTGCAATAAGAACTTTTTTTTGGGAGATATTTCAAAATACTCATTATCTATTTAAATCAGTTACTTAGCTTTAGAAAATTGGTTGATTACCCTTTTGCACCAATGCTATCAATGTTTGAAATAGAGCCAATTAATATAAGAGGTATTTTTCTTCAGATTCCGTTAATTATTACTGAATTTTTTGAGAAATCCGGTCAGAATTAAAACTATTATTTACATATAGAATATTTTTTTGCACTTTGCATAACTATCAACAACAAGTTTATTAGCTGGAATTTTTATATTTGCAGTAGGTTAAGATAATTACTTCAACCTATTCAGTGTTACACTTTCTTACAGAAAACAACCTAAATATGTTCCTGCTCACAAAGGAGATACTTAGGTTTTATAACACTGCACTTCAGTCAAGTTTACTAGTAGAGAATTTTCCGGTTATAGCGCTTTTGAACTAGAATACATAACTGTCAATGCTTAATTTATAACCCTGTATAAGTTAAATGATACAGTTATATTGACGAAAATTAAATTGGTAAAAGTGGTAGGCTGAGAACTTTATAAGCCAGGGGAAGCATAAACTAAGCTGAACTTCAATTTTATAGACACAACTGAGAATGTGACGAATACAATCCCTCTAAATTTCATATGCTACAAACTCTATAAATTGAATCCTAAATACATAACTACTTTTTGATAGGAGACATGCAGCAATTTTGAAGAACTAAACAGCTGGATATCAACTGCAAATTACATGCAGTTAATGATAAAAATCTATTTCATTTGTATGAGTACATAAGTAATATATATTGCTTTTGTGTTGGTTTATATACATATTTGCAGAAATAGACAATAAAATTAAAAAAAAAAAAATCAAAGTGAAACAGTGCTAAGTCGCATGCTATAACTAAAATAAAATATTAGAAGCAAATGTAAAATAAGATTAAATACTAGATTGAAAATACCTGGGAACTCTAAAGAATGTTAACAATACAATAATAAAATGGAATGCACAAAAATGCATGACAGCTTTATCAGGAAGACTTAGTTATGTAGTCTTTCTAAACTTCAATATTTCAGCTGCATCTGATTAGCATCTTCTCTCCCTTGCATAATCATTTTTATCCAGGAGCAGTAAGGGGGCGTAGGTTGGGTTATATGCCACTAACCAACAAAAACTGCTGCTGCATTAACTGCATGGCAAAATCTTCCTGATTAAGCTGCCATGTACGTCAGTTCATTCCATCTTTTTATAAATTTTTTTAACTTGTTAAAAATTTTTTTTTATTGTCTCCCGGGATGTTAACCAAGTATTTCAACTTACTTAATACTTGCTTCCAATTTTCAAATATATGTACAGACAAACCAACCAGAGAGAATGAAAAAGTAGAATACTTTTTTACGTATGTTCAGAAGGGATTGGGAGATGAAGGAAGACACACAAATTATATACTATTGAGAACTACATACATTAATAAATTCAAATTAGAAAAAAAAAGGAAAATTCATAAATTACTTTAATTTACAAGTATATAAATTTTAATATTGGAGCACATTAATAGTCATTAAATTTGTGATTAAAACCTTTGTTCTAATAACTTTATAATGATCTTTAGGAAATTTAATAATTTTATTTTTAATGATTGTTTTTTCCAGTTCGATATGGTTATGTTCTCCTTTCCTTTATGAAGGATTAAAAAATTTTTTCATGCTATCTAGATGAGAATAAAATTTCAAATATCATTTTAAGAAACCTATAAAACCAGACTAATGATAAAGTAATGAATAACAGACTACTTTCGCTAAAAGAAAATGACTCTTTGAAATGAACAATGTTATTATAAAAACACCCTAAACACTTACACTTATCTGCAGTTAACTTAGTCATGTCCAAAGTTTTACTAAGCACTTTCACAGCTAAGGCTAAAGCATCTGCAAGAGAAGTTTCATTTTCCTTGTACTCCTGCTTCAAAATAGATACAGCAGCCTAAAATATAATATATTTCATATTAAATTTAATGTCCCAAAATATGGAGCTTGGGTATATGTAAACAAGAAATATTGATTTAATAATATTGATAGAATAATTCAATAAAGACTAGTATTTATCCTTTTATAAGCTTTTGGCATTTATTCTTCCAATCTCTTTTATGCATACACTAAATATTTAAAATAAATAAATAAAAAAACGAGTAAAATTTATATTTTAGTATATTATTGAACTAAATAAAAAGTATTCAACATTTAAAATGGTTTGCATTTGAATAAAAATAAGAAAATGAGCAGATAGTCTGCACGTAAAACATGGAACAATAAATTACGAAATATGTAAATATTGTATAGTATCACACGTAACTTAAATTCAGTGAAATAAAAATTTTGTGTATCGAACATTCAAAAGTAATTAGCAGAATTTAAATTTTTTTATCCATCAGGATTCATTTAGCCTGCTGGTCTTAGTCAAATAGTTCATATGCCAAATTTTCTAAATATCTTTTCCCTATTATCATATACCCTTCTATAGCAAGATCTAAATATTTCATTTATCTGCATATTTCTTCTGTTCATATTGTCAAACAGCCTTTCACAGTATTTTTCTTTACTAAGAGTGACAACAATCTAATCAATTATACCAAAAACTTTAAATTTGAGAACAGTATCTGTAAAGACCGACCCATTTATATGCATAAAAACGAATGATTGCTTGTTTCGTGTATGCCTCGATGTTTTTCATATGACTGCAATGAAATTCAGCACACAAAATAAATTGAAGCGCAAGAAAGGTCACTGTTAATGACATTTTACTCTGAATCTTTTAAGTGCCAGTTTAATGGGAAATGCAGGCTAAAAAGAAGCTTCTAAAGATACCAAGAACAGTAACTAGAAATTATTTATATTTCTTAAAAGTAAAAATGAAAAAGTGCCAACTCAATAAGATAATTTGTTGTAGCAGAAATTAAATAACACTTTTAATGATAAATTTCTTTCCAATCTGCTTTCATAATCTTTATACTGTAAATGCAACATTGAGAGTTAATTGCTAGTATAAAAAGGAAATAAAGTGAATTTATAAACTAAAAACCAAGTAAGTGGCAAGATCTGCAACAACTGAAAAGAGTAAATGTGGGGACTAAAAGAGTAAAAGAGGGATTTTATGTTACAACTGTAACATAAAATCCCTTTGTTCAAAAATGCAATATCACAAGCACTTATTATTTTCAAGTGTTCTATTGAAGAATTGCATATTATTTTTATAAATCACCTAACAATATTTTTTTTTCTTTCCAAGTAATGTTAAGTTAAACAGTATGTAAATAAATAAATTATATAATTCATGCAATTTCCAATTCTTAGCTTTACACATGAAGAGATATATACTGTAATACTTACAGCACTATTATTACCAATACAAGTAGCTTTCCATCCACCATAGTTACCACTAGGATCAGACTGATATAGTTGGAAACCATAATGCTTGTCCCACCCCATGTACAAAATGGACACGCCAAAAGGTCGTTTGCCTGAAAGTGTAAACTTAATGTAAATGATTTAAAGAATCATATAAAAAAAATTGAAAATACATTCAGGAAAAGAACAAACAATTATAAAATTTGCACAAAACTATTTTCCCAAATTAACTTTTTGTAGAATCACAAAAATCACCTGTATGTAAGTACAGTGGAGCATCGCTTATACGACGCCGAAGGGACCACCGAAAAACGTCGTATAAACGATAACGTCGTATAATCGATTTTTACTTCTAAAACTGAAACTAACTCTGTTTTCAGTTAATTTTAATGTTTAACGTGTTGATTTACATAAATTTCTAAATTAGACAAAGCAAAACAAACAAATAACCAAAGAAGAAAAATTGCAGTGAGCAATTTGAATGTATGTTACCTTTAATTATATTTTCTTGCTATTAGTCTCTACAATGCTTTGAATAGCGAGTTGAACTTACTGCTTTCTATGATGCAATTTTAAATTTCTTATCACTGCCAAATCTAATGGCTGAAGCGCACTTGTGCAATTTGCAGGAAAAAAGAGAGCTTTCACATTTTCCAAAATAATTAGTATCGATGGGTGCGCTGGACATTGGTCGATGAATAGCAAAATTTTTCGTTTTTTCCTCTTCATAACATTATCTAGTTTTTTCAGTCATCTAGTAAAAATTACGGTCGTCATCCAAGCATTCTTGTTGGCACCCTTTTCTGTATCATTCATGTTGGCAAATTCCGCCCTTTTTTAAAATACACAAGAAAAAATAAAAAATTAAATAAAGAACAAAATCTAAGAATCGACGTATAACCGATTCTGTGCGTCGTATAAACGATATATTTTTACATTAAAATGAATAGGAATGATTCGGGACCACACTAAAACGTCGTATAAATGTAAACGTCGTATAAGTGATCGTCGTATAAACGATGCTCCACTGTAGTTTATTACTTTCAAGTCTGAGTTAGAAAGAAACCAATATAAATGAGTAAATTAAAAAATAAACTATAATTGTAACCAAAATCATTATAAGTTTGCTTCATTGTACTTTACAGTTATTAATTTTCTCATTGTTAGCTTAGAGAGAGTAATACAGCATACTTTTCCGAAATCTGAATATTCCAATGTTTCAGCATAATTAAACATGCAGAAATGAGAAGGATTTATTTTAAAAGATTTCAGCAAATGATTGAGGCATGTAATAAAATATAAGCCTGAACTAGTTTATTATTTCACACTATTATACACTCAATAAAATGAAAACAGAGAAAAAAAAAACCACATTAGTTATTGCATCAAGACTGGTATCGGTTTAAGGAAATTTTTTTCATTGGGGAAAAAAATGCTTGTTTAGGAACACTTAGAGCAGATTGAAGAAATACACAATCAAAAGGCACGCAATCACTATATTACTTCCTTCAAAGGAAAAGTACTTAAGCTTATAAACATTTCTTTTTTGCTTCTAAGATTACAGTAACATGAATTGACACACCTTGACAAAGTTTATTTTTAAATGCTGCGGAAATATTACATTAAACAATATTATTCGGGGTAGAAATTAAGAAAACCTAATCACTAGTCCAAAGGACCAGTAACTCAAAAAGATGTTACAAGTCTGTTTACATTTTCAATAGCCGTTTAGGAATCTTCTCTCTCTTTTTTTTAAATGTCAATAAAGTAAATTAAAATGAAAAATTACAATACAGAGAATGTGTAATGGTTACGATTTTGGTGAAATATGCTATTTTGTGTAAAAAACACAGATCGAAACAGCATTTCATTTCTTTACATTGATAATCTACTTTATGGTGGTCCAAGTCAAATTTTAGTGCTCCTGGATCATCAGATCACTGTTAATTTTAAAGCCTGATTAATAATATATACTATATCTAAGTACTATACACTAATAATATTGAGATATTAGAATCATATTAATAAGACCTATGTAAAGTATAAAGAAATCTAATTTTCTGTAATAGATTAATTAACTATTAATATAAATTCAATCATAAAGATTGATTGAAAGTGGCTCTACAAACATTAAAGCACTTTAGATAAGTTCTGAAGATTTTAAATTAGAAAAATACATATAGATAGATTACCTCCATATTGAGTATATGCCTGCTTCAAATCACACAACCAACTAACTAATCGCTCACAGGGGATAGATTCACCATACTGAAGTAAGTATCTAGATATAATTAATAACAAAAGAATATTTTAGTTTTTGATGCCAAATGAAACTCTGAAATTCTCAAAAATTAAAAATTGTGTCAAAAGAAAACAGCTTAACATACACATAATATAACACAAACTAGTTGAGAACTGGATTTGAAAAGTAATAATAATTGGCAAGCAACAGATATTAAATAAAATATAAAAATCTACTTAAAAATCATAACCCAGATGTTTCATAATTATATTTGAAGCTCAAAATTGGAGTACGAAATCTATCATACAATGAAGGACTTTTTTTTCCTTTTTAGTCTACCTCAAATTTTTTATCTTTGTTAATGAAAGAGTTAAAAATTTTTATCTTTCACTTTCTTCTCCAATTAAGAGGGCAAAAAATATGTAATTAATATTCAGCAAGCAGGTCTTATTGGAAAATCTTTGGTATCTTTAAGAACTTGTTTTTGCAAGAGGCTATTGTCTTCCTATTAAAAAAACATAGAAAAACGCCTTATTTTTTTATTTTTTAAAAAGAATATGCTAAAATTGGCTTACACATCTTTTACATAATACCAAATTGTACTAAAAAATATCTTGTTACTACAAATTTGCAAGAAAAAAAAAGTTTTAAAATGAAGAAAAGAAACACTATTTTTTTCAACCTAGGACTCTAAATGCCAGACGAATAAAATGACAACTAATCTTTTTTAAAATTTGAAACATACTTTTAATAGCAAATATAATTACATGCAACATTATGAAACAACCAGCAACATTAGGAAACAACCAGTCATCACCAGAGCAGTTTTAATGTTTTTAGGGGCCCTGGGCCTATCTTTATTTGGGGAACCTTTACGAATAATTTCAGAATTTTTTTCTTAGTTTTAATAATTTTTAAAAATAATTTTATTTTCAGAATGAAAAACAAATAAATCATTATAAAAGCTTAATACATTATTTGCATATAAAGTTTATGTTAGCAAAACCTTTCACACTTTTTGAGAGGTGAAGTCTTTTTTCACATCATTAAAATCAATTTACTGCTAGACACCCTATTTAATGCTCATGATTGACAAATGACTAACATTCTTAAGTCATACTATTTCTTAGCTCATATTTCATTAATTTTAGTCTGAGAATGAATGTTGGATACTGCAATTGGTAATCATGATTAACAAAAAAAAAAATTTGAAGTGAAATGTCAATATTTGGAAGGTGTCTCTGAGATAATTATTTTGTACTATTTTATACATATCATCTAAGTCTAGTTGGCATAACTTATTCAGTGCTAGTTATTTTTCATTTACATCATTAGCATATAATCTTCAAAAATTATTATAGTGAAGCAGTAATATCTGGTACTTTAAAAAATTGCAATTTGAAAAAGATCAGAACAAGCCAGTTATTGGTTTACACACCACTGAACAAGAGTTTATTGGTTAATGAATGTGACAATTACTGGGAGATAAACTTTAATTTTAAATCTTTTGCTACCATGTAATATAATGTCTTCTGGACCTCAACCATAAAAACTTACGCTTCGTCTCATCTTTATATTTAAAATCAGGAAATTTTCCTAGGAAATGGTTTCAAAAGCAGAGATTCTCTCTCCGTTCACTCGCAGAAGCAATCGAGGATTCAATCAATTTCAAACTATCAAGAAAAAGGCTTTTTTTCTGTTTGCTTATTAAAATGTGATTTATTCTTCATAACATATCCCAACAAAATATTTTTTAACGGCTTCAATTTCCTTAAACGGCCACAAGCATCTATTCTAGTTTTGAGAAGCTCTTATTTGTTCTTTTCGAAAATTTGAAGAATGGTCATAACTTTATTGTAACTGAGCATGGATGGACGGACCACTTATTATTTGATGGATATTAAAGTATCTGATGGATATTTTATGACTAGTTCAGATTCTAAGCATTCTCTTAAGGCAATCCACTGATGAGAACAGGAGAAAAAAAAAGAGTTAAGTTTCTATAAAATTTGTAAATAATCCTCTACAACACATCCCACAACTTGTGCACCAATTAAGTTTAAGCTATGTGCTTAGGCATAGTATCACCAAATATGTTAACCATATTTGGTGAGTTATTATATGTTTGTCTATAACAATCACTTATATTTATGTCTTTGTCCTTGAAAAAATATACAATATCAGACAAGTACTCAGATTTATGCCTTTCAATTGGAATAAAATCCAAAAAACGTTCCACTGAAATTCTGTTGCTCACATATCGGATGACAAATATCAGCCAATCTATGTAGGAAATATTAGGTGTTGAATCAACACTTACTGAAAAATATTTTGCTTTCTTTAGTTCTGCCATTATTTTGTTTATTACTTTACATCCCATAATCAATATAAACTAATTACAAATCAAAGCTGATAAATAAATAGGATGCATGTCCTTTGCTCGTATTCCCATAATGTTTTATAAGTCCAGCAAGACAATGGTCGAGTTTACTTAATAGTTAACTTTAAGTTTCCAAATAATTTCCATTAAGCTGCGATCCAATTGTTTGATCATCTCTAAAGAATGCAAGACCAGGTAATAGCATAAACTTTATTATTACTTTTACAATTCTTTTCAATACTTCTTTCCAATAATTGATTTGGTCATTCATCTGATTAGTTAAAACCCTATTTATTAAAAGCCCAGCATTAATTCTTGACTAATAAATCATTGTAGCTGGTCTGTGCTCTAACATATTTTCATGTTCTAAAATGCACACTAGCTCAGCTTTGAATGTTACCAATCATTTAAGCTATATTTAGAAATAAATGCCATAAGGGAAACTAACCACACCTTTGAAAAACAAGTATTTCTTCATTTTTCTGTTCTTATAATCTTTTCTGTTCATCTAAAAGAATATATTATTCCATTTACTGCAAAATGTCATGATTGATGCGACGCATGGCTCAACGAATTTTTTCTTTTAACATTTTCTCTCTCACTATCTGATACTTTTTTAAAACAAATTAGTTGCGATAATGAATTAGTCAAGATTAGGACTGGGCTATAAATCGATATATCGCGACATATCGATTTAACGCCTATATCGGCAAACCGATACAGCAACTTTCATTCCAAGCGATACATCAGAAATGTGATTTAAGCCGTCGAGTGAAGAAGACGATATAACGATATAGCGATACACGCAAGGACTTTCTCTTACGTTCCGATGCCAACTCGCGCTGTGGAAGACGATATTGTTTCGTTATGTTGAGACGGCCTTGACTGATGAGCGGTAGAATCAGAATCACTTTTGAGACCTTATATCGTTATATCACATGTTCGTTTTCGCACCTTCGCGATTTGAAATCGTTTCTTGTAGATTATTTTCAATGGGATTAACTTCGTGATCGCCGTCGTAACCTTGTTCTGAACGCAATCTATTATTGAAAAGAATTTATAAAGAAAAGTTTCTTCATTAATTAGGTAAGTTTTTTATTTATTTTCTGACAAAACTTTTTTTATATTTTTAAATGTGAAAATTATCGGAAATCTAATTTAAGGCACCCATAAGGAATTAAATTACAAAGTAAATAAATTTGTTAGGTTATTTTTTTACTTTCTTTTAATTTATTAAAAACCTTTCGGATAAAACTTCTAATAATTTAATGGGCTTCTATTACTGATTTTAAATTTATAAATCTTGAGTTGTTTTTATTTTTAGAAATAAAGTTAAAACAAAACTTATTTTTTGGACATAAGTCAATAAACTTTATTTGTTCAAAAGAATTTGAAAAGTTTGCGAATTTTATTCATTTCTTTTTTTTTTTTTTTTAAATTACTACTTCGTTTTATTAGAGAGTAAAATCATTATTTTTTTTTAATTTTCGTTTTATATTATTAGTTAATTAGCTAAATATATTACCGAATATCACAATTCTTTTGTTTTTATTTTTAAGAATTTAATTAAGAAACTTTGCCTTACTTTGTTTTTCGTTCATAATTCGGTCATTATTTAATTTAATTTAATTATTTATATGAAATAATAATAAAAATAGTGTTTAAGAAGCATTTTTTTTTTAAAATTTATTTAGCTCTTTGTTTTAAGCATACAAATAATTTTTTAACGAACTTATTTTTTAAATTTTGTTCCTATGCTGTTAGGTAAATATATTGATAAATTTCACTTTTATTTATTTTTTTATTTTTAAACTAAGAAATCTTTTGTTATTTGCGTGATCATTTTTAGAAAATATAACAAAACTTGTGTTTACTTCTTCATTAAGAATTTGAACATTACGATCGAACTTAATAATTCTGTAATTATTTACGCATAATAGTACAAGCAAATATTGATTTGTTAAAAAAAGTTTCTTTTTTTAAAAAAAAAAAAATTTTTTTAACACTTTGTTTTAAGTGTATAATGAATTTCTTAACAAACTTTTTTTTTAATTTTTTAAATTTTCTTTCAATAATTTCAGCTAGATATCTTTATAAAATTCCCTTTTTATTTTTAAACTGAGAAATCTTTCAGAGAACGAAAATTTTAAGAAATTATTACAAATCTTATGTTTACTTTTTAGTTTAAAATTCGAACATTTTTAATTTTAAACTTCGGCTTTTAGTCAATCTAACTTTTATTTTAATTAAAATATATTTTGAAATTTTAAAATCAGCTTTTGTTTAATAACAATATTTTTTTTCATTAAGGGTGTTTTAGGGGTTAACTTAAATTAAGACTGCTTATACCTTATAAACGATAAAGAAGTGCAAATATTTCATTCTGTATCTACACACATTTTTTCAATAAATATTTTAAGTAAGATTTGTACATCTTAGTCAATTTATTTAATATCTTTCTTTAGCAAAACATATATATTTTCAAATTTATAAATTGATTTAAATCAATATGCGTATGAAGTCTTGATAGAAATCTGACTTTCTGTGCCTTAAAGTAAATGAAATTCAAAAATACTATATCGCGATACATCGCTATATCGCGATGCAAAACTGACGATATATCACGATATATAATTTCTAATATCGCCCAGTCCTAGTCAAGATAAAAAAAAAATAAATAAATAAATAAAACTCAATGGAATGAGATTTTTTACTCTTTGGGGGCATCTCTTGCAACAGTTTTTAATTTTTTTATTTGGATATTTACATAACTTCAAAAAAGATTTTAACTTGAATATTTAAAACATTTTTTTTTCTCAAATAAAAGAATGTTCTCTCTATGCAACATTAAGATAATTTTTGAAAGAATATAATTTCAAAATTTAAAAATATTTGTATATAAGTTTTCCTTTATACTAAAGGGGTTAAAAAAAAATAATATTTCATGATAGAATTGAATTGTTATAAATTAAGATGCCACAGTATTTGCAAGTCAAGAGCAATAGATAAAGTGTGGCTCCTTTATTGTGGTGAAAAACATTCGTAGGTCTCCTGATTTCCCGGGTTTTTGAATAAAGCAATAAGTTCCTTCTTTAGATAGGTCTAAAGTTAAGTTTTTGAAAATGTCATGGATTATTTAATCTAAATTTCTTTGCCAACACTAATGTTTGAAAAGGATCAAATCTAAATTGATCATAGCTTAAAAAAGTAAACAATTTAACATACCTTTGAGCAATTTGCCGCAACTCATTAGTCAAGACATTAGCATCAGAAGTAATACCAGCAACACTACAACACATATCACTAAAAAAAATGAGAAGAGACAAAGTGTTAATGAAAAAAATTACTAAATAAAAGGGAAATTTTGAAATTACTTAGTTTAAAACATAACTGCATGATACAAAATTCAAAGATATTTCTCACATTGTGTGGTATGATTTAAATCACTATATTTTTTTTAAGTAATATAACTGCACTCAAAAGTACTGGTCTTGTTGTAAAACTTTTAAATCATAATTTTCCGTCAGCTGTATGCAAAACAATTTGCTGTTTAATAAACACATTTAAATTATGCTTATTTAGTTTTATACTTATTTAAATACAAGTAATGTTAAAACTTAATATACTGAGAATAATTTTGAATTATTGATATTTCCTGGTCTTCATTACTTTTTTCCTTCATTTGATATCAAACTGACAATTTGGTTCTGGCCTTTACAAATTTACGAAAGTGTTGAATAAAACTAAATATGATTTTATTTAGGCAGAGATTATATTGTTAATAGCTATATAATAATAATTTTAGTCAGTTTAGTTATAAACATCATGCATTTTAGTTATATGTAAATAATATCAGCTAAATACATATAATTTATAAAAACTTTGGTTAAAAAAAAAAAAAATCTGATATTATTGTTCACCATAAGTGACCTAAATCTCACTTATGGTGACACTTCAGGTCATTTTTTAGAAATGAATTAATATGAAAACTAATTTTCACTTTTTTGCCACATTTGAAACTGTTAACAAGGGAAGACTTGGTTAACAATAAAAGTGAAAATAAACAATCTTCTAGAAGAGTTAAAAGAAAACTCTAAATATCAAAAAGAATAATGCAGGTTAGGTTTAAGATTTTTTTATTTTTAAAATTCAAAAAGTGAAAAATTAGAGTAAGAAATTTTATAAATGGTTCATATATAGTCAGCAAAACAATTTAGTTTTGATTTGCACATGAAGAACTTTTGTGAGTTTCTGTTTGAATTTTTTTATCATCATCATAATTATAAATAGTAACACATTGCCTTTTAGAAATAAATATTTGATTTTGAATTTCATACACTTTTAAAAAAGATTCTAGAATGAGTTCAAGCATAAACAAAAATTAAAAGTAGCAAAAATTAAATTAAAATTTTTACTTGTGCAGTCTGTAAATTTTTTCTGAATTGAAAACTTCATCTAATAGTTTATTAGTATTACGACGTTCAGCAGCAAGAACTATTCCATCATTAGCCAAAATTCCCAAGCATGTTCCAGCATGACCAATAGCTTCCATAGCATATTCAACTTGATATAATCTTCCTGAAATATGGAAAATAAAATAATTTAAAATAATACATAGTTCAACACCCTATGGCAGAATTTTTTCAAGCTATCTGCGACAAAACTCTCTAGCACTAATATCTTTCTTCAAGCTACTTTTAATCATAACAAACATATATGTTACTAATTTAAAATAACAAAAACTAAAACTTTTTTAAAATTGAACACGTAATAATTTTTATTCTAATATTAGGGGTGATATCCTCGCATTTTTGGGGGGGGGGGGAACCACACTATTTATTTCCCTCTTTGCATTTTGTAATTGATCATCACATTAAAAAAATAATTTAAAAACCTGCAATGCGTTGCCGGAAAAAAGATCCACGACGAAATCACTCTATAAAGAATATCGGATTTAAAATCTATGGAGAAATTAATAGCAATAACTGCTAAAAATTTGATAGAATTATTGCCTTAAAAATTAAATACTCAAATGCATGATTCGAATTTTCCATATTGTTTGAAATATATAGGGATATTTTAAAAACATGTAAAAATTAATATCAATAACTGCCGAAAATTCAATCGAAACATTACTTCGATTTACAATAATATCGGCGTAAATTGAGCGAGTCAAATGCGTAATTATGTATGATTCAAAGATTGCATGTAAATTTCTGTATAAAAGAAAACAAATTTTTTTTACTTTTCAAAAGAAAAATCTTTCTGCAAGAACTCTGTAACGTTCTGCGACAATGTCGCCGTGTCGCTGCGATTCTGCCACGGGGGTTCAACAAATGGTTAATGGTGAAAATAAAATGATAAATATTATTAATAAAAAAGTGAGCTTTTTTAACTACTTAACTTCAGTTATTTTAAGAGTTTTTTTTTCCTTTTTTAATTATCAGTAAATAATCTTATAACTAAAATTTATTTAGTTAGAAAAAAATTAGAGTATAACTAGGAATTTTATTTGTAAATATCAATTATAGTTGAATTTTTAACATAAAATATTTAATTTAAACATGAATATTGCATAATTCAAATAAATGATTCACATACTTTGACAATATTACTCATAGGTAAATAGGCAACACAACACTCTAGCATTAAGTAATGAGATTATTTTCTGAGAAGTAATCCAAAAAATTATAAAACTCAATAAGCTAAAACAAGTATACAACGCAAGATCTTAGTACAAATGCAAAATGCAGCACAGAAAAGTAGAACATTTCAGAAAAATCAAAGTTCTGATTATAAAACAGTAAGAAATTTCTTCTTTACCTTCAGGTGAGAAGATTGTTGTTCTAGAATCATAACGCCGAGCCTAAAATATAAGAATGCTCTTTATTTCCAATAAAAAAAAATTTTTTTTTCCATCTAAATAATCACAACAAATTATAATCATATATAAAAATCAAAATTAAGTTTCCTTATGAAATAAAATTTCAAACCTTTCAAGGAAAAGATCATTTATAAATTTAACTTAAAATAATAAAGACTTAAAGAGTGCCTCCTCAAAAAATAAAAATTATTTTTTCGGTTTAGTCAAAATCACAGAAAATTTCTCAATTAAATTTGAAAAGGTGCCAAAATTTAAAGAATTCATGTTTTTTAGATGCTTATACTCAAGAGTAAGATGTTTCTGGCTTCACATTTCTAATTACCACACGAAAAATCATTTGTTATGATTTAAAAATCAGAATGTCTAATAACCTAATAGAATGTCTATAATCATCTCTTAAAAATTTGATTTCAAAATATAAACTATAAAATATCAATACAGTTTGAGTATTATTCTTTTGGCANATGATTTAAAAATCAGAATGTCTAATAACCTAATAGACTGTCTACATCACATAGAATGTCTATAATCATCTCTTAAAAATTTGATTTCAAAATATAAACTATAAAATATCAATACAGTTTGAGTATTATTCTTTTGGCATTATCACTTTTTTATACATATGATCTAATTACTTTTAAGTTAAAATAAAATGAGCTCAATTTCAATTAAATACAAATTACATACATTTACTGCTCATTAGACAATTCATGGAAAGACTATTTACAGTTTAGACAACAAGAAAAAGACTAATTGCAAAAAGTAATGCATAATAATTGGCATATTGATGCCCATAGCCATCTTCAACTCAGGCTTAAGTACTGTTGCACTGCAGATAAGAAAGGATGTCATGACTAATGCCTAACTTACCAACAGCAAATGAAAAAAACAAAACAAATACATTCATAGTTCATGACATCGCTGATGTAAGTTGAAGGCATAAAAATGTCATGTCACCAAAAACTGGTTTCACGAAACAAAAGGAGAAAGATTTAAAATTTCCATACAATTGATCAAACCAAGAAAACCCCCTTACAGTACTCATTTATCTAACAATAAATATCTAATATTTCAGGATGATGCACCTCCTGTAGGTAGCTATATCTAAAAAAACAGTGATAAGTAGGGCTTGTGAAACACAGCCACTAGTAGCAACAAATTAATTTTGAGTGTAAACAATATTTTTAGCTTTTAAATTATGATGACATTCTTTTATACTTAAAAAAAAATTGGTCTGAGAATTCAGCTCAAACGATATTCCTTCCCCCTATTCTAGTCTATGTTTTTAACAATCATCTGAGAAGAAAAAAAATCCCTTTTTTTCCATATTACTCAAATTTTTGATTCAGCATTCCACTATTCATGATCCTTAATAGTTTCATTTCATAAATATCAGGATTTTTAAAAGCTTTTAGAAATCCATGTATAAAACTGTCGAAAAATGTATAAATAAAACATGCGAATCCAAATAAATAAATAAAACACATGGCCTCAAATAAATTATTTTACTATTATCACTACACCCGCCTTTGCTACCACATTCAAACTGATAATTCAGTTTACCAGTTATAACAACTAAAAATTAAAAAATATTTAAGAAACTAAAGAATTCTAATATATTAACAAAGCAATAAACTCCTTTTTACATGAAATAGAGCTACTATAATATAGTAAACACCACTGATGTTTACCTTAAAATATTTGAAAAAATAGAAATGACTATAATTTAATTAAAATGATGGTTAATGCTTAACTAATAGAAATTCCATAACTGAAAAAATTTACATACCAATAAAAAACATACCAACATAAGAAATAAAATTATCAATGCAGAGTAAATCCTAAAAGGGGATTGCAGGACGCACCTCCCTATTTGCTGTTAACATGGTTTTTCAAATTACGATATTGCTAATATGATGTTATTATAATATACAATTTTTTATTTTCAGTTATCACTTTTTGAACGGCTGAATTTGTGACAATATTATTATAAATACACATCATTTTCTGATCTTGTTCTTACATATTTCTGTGGTTTCTCATATTTTTAATTACATATGATGCACAATGTTATCAAGACACCCAAATTTCGGATTGGAGCAACGACTACAGTACGGAACCCGTTATCCGGAAATCAGAAAACCGGAAGGAATTTGATAAATTTTCCCGCCATTTAAAAATTTTTTTTTTTCTTACTCATAAGATTTTAGGATTTTTCTTTCTTTTTTGAAAGATGTTTACCTTACCAACATTTTGAAAATAATCATTAGTGTATTACTTCATCGTTTTTTCTTCTTTTTAAGATTATTTCCTTTAGTTGGGTTTAACAATGAAAAAAACGGCTTTTTGTAGCAATTCAGAAAACCGGAAAAATCAGTTATCCGGAATAGCGATGGTCCCGATCGTTCCGAATAATCAGTTCCCTAGTGTATTTGCTTAGAATTTACTGGAAAATAACTTTTTGACACTCCTGATTTCAAAGAAATTTTCTGATTTACAATTATTTTTTTCGGCTACTTCCACTAATTTTTTTTTCAATACGATATTATTACTATACTTGTTTGTCAAATTTTAAGGCATTACTTTTGAATGTGATCTATTTGCACTAATTTTATAGTAAATCCTACATTTAGATTTCTTTGTCAACCCTTTTAACACAGCATTTACAATTCCAATGCTTAATACATTCTTATAACAAGTGAAATCCATAATTTAGTATATTAAATTTTTAATGCACTCCAAGTGATGGGTAGTAGGAACTCTCCTAAAGGAGACATTTAGAATAAAAACGAAAATTGCTTCTGTTTTGGAGCCATAAAACTAATTTTTGCACACAAATTTCTCGCCAAAGTAGCACTTTTGGCTCTCAAATAACAATACAGTTTAGAGCAATTTTGGAAAAAAAACAAACAGTATTTTGGAGCAAACTGGTGCAGAAATTTCATTTTGGAGCGATTCGAGCAGCTGTTCCAGCCCTGAAAAAGTTATGGGTAACAGAAGAGGACGAACTCGAAGATCATAACAAATAGCTTGCCCCCCCCCCTCAGCCAATTACATATTTTGTTTTCCAACAAAAATTAAGTAATAACAAAAATTCTTTAGATTCTTGGCGACAGCAGCTTTTGTGATCAGATACCGACATAGAAATAGTATTCTTTATAAGCAAAACAATAGCATTGAAAAATATCTTATCATAAACCTATAAAATTGCAACATATCGATATTTACAGATTCTGCTGATATATAAACATTTAAATTTTTTTCTATAAACATAAATTATATTATACATAAAAGAAAATAGTGATCAGTATAACATGTTTACCTTTAAGGGAGATGTGTCAAATATTAAATTAGAAAAATAGCAAGGAGATATTATTTGCAATTGAAATACTATTTAGCATGCTTATAAACTGCTTTAAATTAATATAAATTTAATTGTAAATAGTTAAAATTTAAATAGAACTGAATAAAGCCGGGCGCAACATGAGGGAAACTATTAGTGAATAAATTTATGCACTCTAGTTATCTTTCAAAATACACAAAAAACGAAGATATGTCATTAATCACAAAAACTCCTTCATTATTGTCACTTACCATGATTAAAATCTACAAATCTAAGTGAATTTGACGAAAAGAGAACAGAAAACTGGCTTCTATCCTGAAATTTATTTGATATTTTGCTTACTCACGAGAGGATCAACAAATTTTTGTATGGGATCAGTTCCGAATAAAATGTCGGTTTTTAACAACTGATTTTTCGAGTTTTCATACGTAAAGTTTAAAACGTTTGATATATTAGATTGTCAATGAGTTGCTTGAGATTAATTCATCTGAATATATGAACAGCACTCATTCCGATATGAAATTTACAGTTAACTGTAAAAAAAGTTTTATTATAATGAATATTTGGAAAATTTAACAGAAAAAACATTTAAAAAATTATTTTTAATATATATTTAATGCATTTTAAATATAATGAGTAGTTCGAAAAATCTTTTTTGGTAGAAATTATGTATGTTTTATATTAACTAGAAATAAGTAGTTAAATGCGTTCTAAACGTTATTTATTTACCGGCCGTAAAAGGAAAAGTCAAATTCTTGGATTAAATTAATCATTGTGAGATAAAGTGCGATATTTACTAACTAATTTTACTCAATAATGTATAACGTACGTATGGAAATCCTAATTATAAAACTCATTTACATTTTTGATGTCATAGTTAAATTTTATTTGCCTAAGAGACGTCATTGTTTATTATTATTTTCTCTCCAGTTGCGAAAATACCTGAAGGAATAAAAGATAATGTTTTTAAAAATACAAAAGATTCAATAATATTGCTATTTATTTGAAACTTATCATAAAATATGGATAATTTTTTGTCATCTCTTTTAAGAAAATTGCTGTGTGCTTATGTCCAATCCTAGTAATTTTGAGAATTCCCTATCAGTACCTGTTCGCGCCATATCTGTACTAGTTTGCATGCAGGCTGTTAGGAATTGTACCCTTCTTGGTATATCTATAATGTACTGTGGTTATATGTTTGTATATAATTGATTAGATTTATATTTAATACATGAAAATTGATGCTTAGAAAATTTTTAGCATAAATTTATAATAAATTCTATTCAAAAATACCTAAATGTCGATGATCCTGACTTAATCTTAACAAAAGTACACACAGCTAGTTAGTAAATATAGCCAGTGACTTTTCAGGGGTCTGTCCATGCCGAATTTACTACCGTTTAGTGGTACTTTCACAAATTCAACTTTAGGAAAAACGATAGCTTCGCAAAGTACTTTTTCTTTAAATTTTATTTTGTATCCCTTAGGAAACGATAAATCCATATTTTTACCATATTTTTGTATTGATTTTTTAATATAATTTTTAATTTTTCACAAATTATGTCTAAATTTTCACAAAATAGCTACCTTTCAGAAAAACCTAGACAGACCCCTGCTTTTATTTTATAACCGGCTTTGAACAACTGACCTAATTATGACTTCCTACTATCAATGAACTCCATAGCCTTGTAATTTTGAACCTAATCCAGAAGACAAAGGGGATATTTCGTGTTGTGATCTGCCATGCCAACTGCAATCGCCAAGGCTCCAAATTGATTTTAAATGGAAATTTTTTTTTAATAAAAACATGTAGAAAAAACATAGGTTCTAACTCATTACCCACTGAGGATATTTTGTATCTGACTCTGTTGTTATCACTATCAACCAGCCACTGCTGGTAGGTATTCGAGCCTGGGTTACCTCATTGGGGGCAAAGGCTCTATCCCTTGAGCCACTGCGGCTCCAACGCTTCACCAAACTATCTAGAAACCTGATTGGCTGTGTAAATAAAAATTTGCTTAATAAGAAAGGAAAATGTCCTTGTAACCAAAATAATCGCTACTTTTTTTACGACTTCCAGGCGTTAGCCCATAAGAAGCTAAAAATTAATATCATTAAAGCATGAAAGGGACACAATTTATACCCCACCCCTGTCAAAATTCTGCATTTTTTAAGTTTGAAATCCTTTTAGCTTCTCGACAATGACATCTTATAAAGAAAAATATTGCACAAATGACTAAATTCAAAATATGTAAAGAATCAATACAAAAATTTTCAGCTATGTTTTTATCTTTAGTTTAGTATAAAATTGAATTGAAACTTAAATGAATAGTTTTTGAATCAGTTTTTTTTTTTTTAAGTAAAAGTGAGTTACTTTAGATAGTCTTTTTTTATTTTTTGCTGAAATGTTATATGTGTTGTGTTCGCTTTTATGTTTTGCATAGCAGATTATATGAAACGTTAAAGGAAAAACAGTCCACCTTGAATAACTTTTGATCTAATGATAGGATCTTTACCTTCTAGGACTTAATGGTTCTAAGGAGTGACCTGAAATATATATTAACTAATTAATGCAGATGATGTTTTAAGTTACAAAACCATACTTTTTCTGAATAATCATACTTTGCTTTTGGCAGATTTGGATTTCTAACTCCCAAAATGTAAAGGTAACCGCAATTTGGGAAATATGGTCCCAATAGTTTGGTCAGGAAAGCAGTCCAAAATTAGGACCCTTTAAAGTTAATTTTAATTTTTTGCATAGTTGCCTTATCTAAAGAACTTTTTGAGTGAATTGAAAAATTATGTATAAAATTATAAAATTCGTTCATCAAAAGATAATTCCATGCAAAGAATATTTTTCACCAAGTATTTATTATTTGATATAATAATGCTCCAAAAAATTTTGAATTTTAAGGTATACTGTTCATTACAACATTTTAAAGAATGTAATTTTAAATGGAAAAATACCAAATTAAGCAAAATTGGTTGAATAGTTCCTGAGAAATCAAATTTTAAAAAAGTCTTATCTGTTTAATGATTTGTTTATTATTTTTGTATTTGCTCTGCTTCATGAGTATATAAATAAAGTATGAACAATTAGGTTTTCATCAATGAAGCTAATTATTATCATCAGAAATTTTATTTCGCCAATAAAAATCTAAATAAATATCTATTACTGTGCTGAACGGCTTCAATAATATAGAGACAGTAACACCACATTATATTATTACTACTTTTTTTTGTGTACAAAATAAATAAATAAAAATATTTTATTGTTAAATTGTATTTTGTATTGTTTTGTATTTTTCATTGACTAACTAAAAGACAGTTGACCATCTAATTTAGTAAATTATTGAATCTCAAATATTTTCCCCTTTTAAGGGTTATAAATATTTGTAAAAAAAAAACTTAGCCAAAGTTTATAATTTTTTAATAGCAATCTGGTGGTGGGGAGCGTGGTAGTGCTGGAGCTGACAAAGAAAAGAAGAGAAAAGAAAGCATTGTTGATCTTTCAAAATATTTAGAGAAGCCTATCCGTGTTAAATTTCAAGGTGGACGAGAAGGTAAATCAAATTATATATCAAATTTTATTGTATAATTTTATAACGTAACATAACAAAACTTTTTATTTTGTTTTATGCAACCATAAAATGAAGGAAAATTTACAAATTTTTTTACTATTATTTCTAAATCTAAGAAATAGTTCTCATGTTTGAGTTTTTGAAATTAATTACATTATATAAAATTAATTTCAGGCAGTAATTACAAAATAAAAAAGAAGAGGGGGAAAAAATTGAGATATTAAGTTTGATAGACTGAGAAATATTTTATTATTTCTTATTTTTGAAAGCTTTCTTCAATGGGGAAATAAAATAATTTTAGGCTTTTATGTACAAAACTCGAAATCATAAAAAGATTTGATGTAATTTGTTTTCCTTTTTGATGCTTTTTAAGCCATAGTAACTAAAAATCAATTTTTTTAAGTATAAACTATAACTACAAAAAAGTTATATTTTTTTAGAAATAATTTATTTTGATTAAAAAATATACAACAATTATGTGCAGATTGTAAGCCATATTTAATTTCTAGACTAAAGTGGCATACATATTTTTTTTAGACCAATTTTTCAGTGATCAAATAACTGATAATTTGATGTTTTCTACATATTCAATTCCAGTCAAACGATTATTTGTTACCTCTATTACAATCTTACTAATAACATGATCACTGAAATGCAATTCATATAGAGTTTTTGTACAATATATTAGCTGTAAGAAATTGTGTTATTTAATTATTTGTGAATTCTTTTTAATGGAAAATATTAAAAAATATATGTTTTATTAATTAATATTGTTTTTAATTTATATAGCATCTGGTATATTGAAGGGATATGACCCTCTATTGAATCTTGTATTAGATAATACTACAGAATATTTAAGAGGTAATTGTTTAATTGAAGTATTATTTATTTATTACTTTCTATTACTTTTGTTTCTGAGCATCAAATATATCATCAAAGATGTGATCTCTCAAACAATTTGTCTATAGAATATTTTTACATTTTAATTAAGTAATTAAAAAGTTGTAGAATTTCTACATAAATTAATTTCTATTTTTTTTAATAGATTTATTTAAATCAGATTTGCTTATATTTAATTAGCATAAGGTTGTATGCTTAGAACAGAAATTAAACTTTTTTAATTAAATGTATAGAAGACTGATGTTTTAGTCAAAATAAGTGCGGTATTTATGAGTAAAAAATAAATATTTGCTAAGTTTTGTGTATTCCTGTTATAAGGACCTCACGTTATGTCTATTTTTGTTCAGACCACAGGGATCATTATATTGAGTATTGATTATACATTTTTTTTATCTAAGTATTTTTTTTAAAGAATTTAAATTAAAGCAAATTTTAACTTATAATAGTAGCTATTTAAAAAGTATTTGCAAGCTGAAGATTAAAAATTGTATATGCTTGTAAAGCAGTTGTGATGTTTGCTTCAGACAGTTCTGATATTATGGGGGTCACTGTTTCTCTTTTTTTTTCTTTTTCTTGTTCCAGCTTTATCAGGGATGAGATTTTTTCACTTTTGTCTCTGGAATTTCAGCCTTTTTATTAAAAACTCTGATTCTCTAAAAGTTAAAGTTTTTTTTTTAATAAATATTCCGCTTTTCTGAAAATTCAGCTGTTGAAATATAATAATTATAATTCTTTCCTATTTTCAAAGATAAACAGAAAATTCAAACTATATGTAGCTGCCAACCCTTCCACATTTTTAATAATTTTATTCACGGGATTTTACGTGCAAAAAATAAGATTTTCCGCATTTTTACCCGCCCGCCAGATAGCTTATATTTTCGTAATTCAGACGTCGCTGCATTTTAATATCAAACAGCGATTTGATTCTTCATGCAATGTGATTCTTTATGCAATTTCAATATCGTACATTCCAGGGTTGGCAAGATTTAGGACAGAATGGATTAATCCACGGTTTAAACCCTGGTTTAAACCGTCCTGTCCAAAACCCCTTTGTCCAAAACCCTTTTACTCAAATTATGTCACAATTTTATCTGAACAATATTTAAGAGGTAAAATAAACATAGAACTAATAACATATTGATAATTAAATATACTAGAGAATATTTGTTTTTAAAAGTATAATGTTTTATTAATATTGTTTGACTCTTCAATTTAAACAAAGGAAGATTAATCAGTAATCAAGTTCAATTGGTCCTCTCATTCAATAGTACATAACTGAAGTTTGGCCTTGCCATACAGGTTAAAATATTAGGGACTAAGTGCTTGGTTCGTCATAAACAGGTTTATTTATCTATAGTACTATTCAAGAATACTTTTATTTCATTCATGTTCAATTCTTTTAGCATAGTGGTGATACATCACCAGTGTCAGTAACTGAAACTGATGTTATGCCCTTCAAAACTGTTAATACATTTTTCAGTTATTTTGTATTTTCAATTTAAACTAATATATTTATATTTAAAAACAATTTTTTTTAAAAATAGATGTCTTTTTTATCATCCTGTGATGCAGAAATTATAAAATTTTTTTAAAAAAATATTGTGAAAAATAAAAGGTTAATTTTTGAACAAATTTAGTATTTTTTTTAAGAAAAATTATTATTTTTTAATATTGCCATATTTATCCTTATGCAAAAATATTATTTATCAGTATTAAAAGCATATTTATATTTAAAAGATTAGGTATTCACTTTTGTTGTTCAATGAATTGTGGAGCTTCAAAAATTATAAACCTTTTCCTATTATATTATATTATTTTCTTTTAATAAGTTATAGTAAATTGTATAAAAAATATCAAATATTTATTGATACATGTAATTATTATGTGTACAATGGTTACACCTATAGAATTTTTACCTTTTTCCAAAGTTCAAGGTTTTGGACACTTTAAGACAGTTTAACCCAGTTTAGGACAGTTTTACCCAGTTTAAGACAGTAAAACCCACGTGTCCTGTCCAAAACCAGTTTAGGACGTCAAAAACCCCAACCCTGGTACATTCATATTCACGCGATTGTGGAATCCTAGATCGATATTTGTATTCACGTGATTTTGAAATCCTTTATCGCAATTCTTATAAGAAATAAGTTTATTTTTTTTGTAATTAGTTACTATAAATGTGGCAGTTGTTCTATCGACGATTATTGGTATATATATGGGCATTACAACAGGATGAGAATATGTTACTGATATTTTTGCTATAAATCACGTTATAGAATTTATTAAAAAAATGAAATGTTAATGTATGTTCTCAGTAGTTTAGTGTGCTAAACTAGGCAGTAATAATTTACTGCTTTGTCACTGAATTCATCAATTATGCATTGTATATATTGCTTACTATATACGACACATTTTAACTTGTTAGTCAAAAAATTGATGATTGGTATGCAAGAGGCTTCCAAGACATGTTTAACACAGTATTGAATAATTTTACACTCTGTAATTTTTCTTCCTTCTGATTGTTAGTAAAAGTTAAGCTATTTTTATATGAAAAAGAATGTAAAAATAAAAGTCTATGAATGTCATCATTATGAGTTGAACTATTATTCTGTCCAATCAAAAAATTAGTGAGGGACAGAGGAATTAATAGGAGGATTAGACTAATAAAGACCAGAAGAAAAAAAAGTTTGGATGATTTAATTGTTCTAAAAAGCCCTTTATGAATTTTGTTGTTGTAATAAAATCTATTATTTACTAGTTTAATTATATTAAATTTTTGTTGTTTTAATAAAATCTTTTCTTTACAAGTTTAAATATATTCAATTTTTGTTTTAATCTTTTCCAGATCCTGATGATGCTTACAAATTAACTGATGATCGACGATCCCTGGGACTAGTTGTTTGTCGTGGTACAGCTGTTGTTGTTATCTGTCCAACAGATGGAATGGAATCTATACCTAATCCTTTTATATCTCATGACACATAAATAAAACTTCTAATTTTGTAGGTTTAGTTATTTCAAAATATCTCTTATGTGAACATTTTATTTTTTAAAAAACATTTCTTCAGCTCTAAATAATACCATCTTCATTTATCAAGAACTTAATATGAAAGTCATTCATTTCTTAGATTTAATTATTAATTTCAATTTTAAAAATTATAAAGTTTCATAGTTTTTGATTCCGACAAACTGGGCTTGCAACTCTTGAAAAGAGTAAACCAAGATTCTTCTTAACTGTTGAGTTTTAATGAAAGAGTTAGAAAATTTTAAATTATGCACATAAAATGCTCTAAAAGAAAAATTATATTTCTATTTAGTTTCAGTTTTTTACAGGGACAGTCAGATTGTTTTGTTGGATCATAATGCAAAATTTTACTATTATGTTTGAAATTTCTAGAACTTATTGTTTCACTTGTAATTCGGTTAATTTCATCATTAATAAACCAATGTAATGATGGTAAAATTTGATTAAATTAAAGAGGAATTACTTGATTTATCTGATAAAGCTTTATTAGCTCATGAGTTTTTTGGTATACTCATTTAAATTTGAACCAATTACTATTATTTTTGAAGGAATTATGTGTACTCAAGCTATTATGGGATCATACCTATCACATTAAAATAATATTCATATTAACTTAATTCATAATTTTTGTTCAACAGTTGTAACTGATTTTCATTCTCCGTAGCTTTTTTTTTTGTGTGAATATTTTTGAAAGTTGTCTCACTTGTAATTTTCAAATATTAACAATATGAATTATAAGAATTTTGTATTAACTTAAAAATTGTATTTGTAAAAAAATTTTGTTGACTGAAATGTATACACACAGTTCACTAAGGCATGGTAGTTGTCTATTGCTTTAGATCAGGGGTAGGCAACGCGGCGCCCGCGATCGATTTTTAATCCGCCCTCGCTGGACTAATGTAAATGTTTAATAGCCAGAGCGATTTACTTAACTCTTGTCAAACGGAGATATACAGCAAGTAGTCAGCTGAGTTTAGGATTGTGCATGATTATCTGCAAAATATGCGCCCTCGGTGATTTTCAAATTTAGTATTGCGCCCTTAAGGACAAACAGGTTGCCGACCCCTGCTTTAGATTGTTGTAGGTTGCCTATAACATTGTTAATTTCTGTTTTAGGAATCTACAGTTTTAGGAATAAAGAAGGTTAAACCAATTTACCAGGCATGGCATAAGATATCTCAATCATTTCATGTGACAAGAGCACACTCCAGTAATTATGTTGGTAGCTTTGCTAAGTCATCAAATGCAAAAAAAAAAAAAAAAAAAAAAAAAAAAAAAAAAAAAAAAAAAAAAAANAAAAAAAAAAAAAAAAAAAGTTGCTTTTTCTTGTGCACTTTTAATAAGTAATATAATGTTAAAAAATAACTTGTTTTCAAAAAGAAAAAAAAAGTATCATTATTTCTGGAGAGAACAAAATGGTAAAATTGTGGGACAAAATTTCTGTATAACAGCTCTTAAAGTCGCTTATAATACTAGTGTGAAGACTGATTTCCTAATATGCACTACTTCGATAGAAAAGAGATTTTAAAATAAATTAAATCACAGATTATTGTTGTAAAAATTGGTTTTACAGAGAAAAAAAAAGGAAAAACACTTTTTTTTAGTGCATAATACAAGGGTGATTCTTTGGAAACATGACAATTTGGACTAAAAAATTTCTTCAGATTTAAAGTCTTCAAAATAATCTAAATTTTTTTTTGTATACTTCTTTGGTTACATTTATTAATATCTTACAGACAGCATTGTAGTTTATTGACGTTTGCTCGAGAAAAAGAATAAAATAGAAATTCACCAAATCTTGAATGCCAGTAAAATGACATTAAAGCTTGGAAGTTTAAAAAACAGTCATTTTAAGTTAATAGTAAGTAACTCAGGGTGGCCGCCCACCTGGAATTATCAGGGAATTTTTTTTATACTGGAAAAAACCTGGAAATATCAGGGAAATTTGGATAAAAACCTTGAAAAATCAGGGAATTTTAAGGGAAAGCTGGAAATTTTTTCTTTGATAATTTTTTTAATTGCACTATTTTAAATTATTTACTAGTTTTCTTAATTTAAATTATTTCATCCATTATACCCACATTTTTTAAACGGAAATGTATCGCCAAACAGTTGAAATATCATCAACTCAGCGATACTTCGCTTGCATCAAAATTTGCTCCATTGCAGCTTGGTTAAACTAGAATGCCAAAATTCTCCCACGGTTGCTAAATGAACGTAGAAACCTTTTACCGCTGAGGGACTGTGCAATTTAGAAAGATTTTGGTGGAAAAAGGGATTAGGATAGTAGCTTCTGTTTTTAAATTCTGACCTTGGGCTGAATCCATTTATGGCTCATGTTTGTTCTGATGCTTTGGTGGTAATTTTTTTTCTTCCTATTTTGACAAAATATTTTTGTATTTTTAACTTTGTAAAATTCTCCAAAAATTAGTTGGTTATAATTTAATAATAATAGATTTTATATTGCACTCTTTTTCTGAAAGCTTTTCTATTCCCATTCAAAGAAATCTGTGAATTATTTTTTTCAGCAAACCAACCAATCACATTTTTTTACAATCGGTCACAGCAATGTTTGTCTACAAATCGTTACAATTGTTGCATAAATGCTAATTTTTTCTATTCCATTTTAACCTTTTATAACATATTTTAATTTTGAAAAAAGGTGTTTTTAAGAACCAATTATATATTAATATTTAATTTTACTCTTTTGTTGGTCAATATATGATTTTTGATTCAAAATTTTGTACCAAAACATTAAAAAATAAATAAAATCTTGCCAAATTGTCAAAATAAATTATTTTTTTCAAGATGATATGTTAAAAAAATAACATTTTGAATAAAATATTTTATAATATAGACACTTTTCTTGTACACATCCTACACTTTATAAGAAAAAAGAAACAAAAACCTGGAAATTTTAAGATTTTTATCTGGAAAAATCAGGGAAATTTGAAATCTGATTTGAGTGGCCATCCTGTAACTCAACATGAGACTTTATGTTAGATGAACCATAAATTGCTTAAATTAATTCTTTTTATCCACTGTAGAAAGAATCAAAAAAAATTTTGTTGCTGATATATACAGAATAAAATTGTGTATAATAATCAGTCATTAAATAAATAAATAACGTTGATTACATCCAAGCATATTACAATCATACATAAACTTGGTATTTGGTTAATATTTGCTTTCCCTCTTTACAATATACTGTTTAAAAAGTTTTCTAGTAACACGTCAATGTCCTGGCATTCATAAGTCAGGATAATGACAAATTTGATCACTGGTTCTAAAAATAAATAAATTCAATTTGATTAAGACATTATTGGTGCTTCCTACTTGATTAAAGCATTGAAACAACTAAAAGACTTCTGAAATATTTTAATTGTACCTATTAATTAACAGTCTGTATTTATTCTGACACAAGGTTTTAACCCTTCTGATAATAATTAATGCAGTTGCAATTAATTCCAGAGAATAAAGTTTTAATTATTTTAATTGAAAATGATGAACAAAAAACTAATACATTTTTAATTATCCTTTTTTTATGCTTGTTAAATCTTATTTTGAACACTAATAACCGACCACAGTTTAGTTTGAGGACAGATGGTGGTATTAAACACCTGACCTCTGTGCCACACATCCAGCTCTAAAACTGTTAGGTACTTAACATTAGTTTGGATTTCGAACAACTTAGACTTGGTTGGAGAAAGATCAGTACAATCAAATACCCGACCTTCAGTTCCTCGTACAGCTATAGTTGCTTCACCGACTAATCAGCCACACAAGTTAAGAAATGTTCTTCAATTTAATGACTATTCCTCCTTCAGTTAGCTTTTCTTAGGTTATAAGAAATTAGTTTTCAAGATGAAATATAATTTTCGCGTATCATAAATGTTTAGTTTAAAAATTCTATAATATTTTCTTATTCCGAAATTAATTTAAAAAATAACATAATTAAAAACATTTTGTTCAATGACCAATGCATTGGTCATTCAAAATCTTTGTTTAAATTTTTATTGATTGCACCATCTGGGTTATTTGACCTCTTTTCCAAATTACTATTTAAAATTTCTATTAATGATATTATCTACTTTCAATTACCTCATTTTCTGCTTGTTGCACAGTTTAGCTAGTACCGTTACCTCGAAACTTCGGTCTCTTCGCAGACTTGTCAAAGCGGTCAACCACCAACTCCCTGAAAATAATACTTGACCTTGGTTATTTATGGGTGAACTTTCGACTGTTGGGCTAGAAACTTTCGTAGCGTGGTAGACTTAATTGTGTATCGTTTACAATACGCAACATTCTCTGGGCTGCCACGCAAATTCGGAGTTCGTATCACGCTCGGGTGCTGAGGCCGATGGTTTACCCATTCCGGGGTTTCTGACTCAAGAACGTTATTTTATCGTTTTTCCGTGAGTTGCGTATTGCAGACACGTTGCAATATTGTGCAAAATATTATGTAAAAGGTTTTCAATCACAACTCAACCTGAAAAGGGTTTCGTTGAAAGAATCTGAACACCAATAACAATGGTGCTATATTCTTTATTTTTTGTGAAAATTGTCTGATCCCGAGCAAGTTTGATTGGAATCATAATATGCTTTAGAAATTTTTCTTGAAAGAGTCAGGGTGTTCAGCTTTCATTTGAAGTGACTGTTGTAATACTTTATTTACGTATAATACTTTTATTACGTATACTTTATTTACTAATTACGGAAGTAAATAAAATAAGTAATCAGAACAGTATCAGCTTCATTTAATAAATTCTTCTCCTTTGTAATTTGATCTGCATTATATTTATATAAACATGCCTTCATAACTTCTTTGCTACTCACCACGACTTTTGAGCTAGGTGTTTATAATATAACGTTCCCAGAAACTTCTAAGTCAGGAATAAAGCACCTCAAATGAAGCTATAAGAAGTTAAAAAGGAATCATAATCCACGTACTGTTTGGTGGCTGTAGAGGGGTGTGGTGGCTGGTAA